GGTGTATGTGGCTGGTGCCTTAGCCGCTTGAGCCACAGGCACCGAGCCACCTCCAACTTACCTTTGATGTAGCATTTTTTGTTGTTGTTGTTGCAGTTTTTGGCTGGGGCTGGGCTCGAACCCATATGGGGCCAGTGCCCTACTCCTTGAGCCACAGGTACTGCCCCTGATGTAGCATTTTCAGTATTTGAAGAGGCCAAGGAATTTGAGCTAGAGGAAAAATAGCAATCCTACAAATAAATCACTGTACTGTGAGTAGTCAGTCAATTAGCTCCAGGTTAGATAGCATGTTAAATATCGGACTAAAGTAAATAGAGTTCCTGGGATACTCTTCTTTGATGGCTCTAAAATTAGTATATTTAATAAACTCACTCAATTGCACAGGGGTCCAAATCTGCAGGTAGAGGGGAAAAAAGAGATCTTCATTCCACCAAGGACACTATGCAATGCCCTGTGCAATGCTGGGTATTTTCTTCCTACACATACAGAGATAGCTGTCACCACATTCTTCTGACAACTCAGAAGAAACTAGATGAAAGACACCAGTGGGCAACTCTTAAGCTCTGAGGGACTCTGGTCATGAAGGGGACAATGAGGTTCTAGTATACACGTTCTTCTCTACTCCTCAACCCTTGTTCTCAAAAGCTAGAATAAAAGGTCAGTAAATGTACTTTTGTACCTCTTTATTTTGTTAAAAATAATATGCCTAAAAGTCTACAGATGAGTTAAAATGGCCTTGAAAAGAGCCATGCATGTTACATGTAAGTCTATCATTTCCAATTCTGTGAAGTCCAACTTAAATCTTTTGGAAAAAAAAAAATCTCTAACGTAGCTATAGTTTACTTTTGCTTTTTTTTTTTCCTTTCTTCTTTTAATTGTCTTTCACTGTCATTACAGCTTACTGCAACCTCAAACTCCTGGGCTCAAGCAATCTTCCTGCCTCAGCCTCCCAAGTAGCTGGGACCACAGGTGACCACCAGAACGCTTGGCTATTTTTTTGGTGGGCCCAGGCTGCATTCGAACCCACCACCTTAGGTGTATGTGGCTGGCGCCTTAGCCACTTGAGTCACAGGCTCCAAGCTGAGACAAATTCTTAATTCTTGCTCAAGCTGACCTTGAATTTCTAACTGCAAGCGATCATTCTGCCTCAGTCTCCCAGAATGCTAGAATTATAGGAGCCACTATTTCTAGTTTTTTAACAATGTATTTATTTATTTATTTGAGACAGAGACTCAAGCTGTCCCCCTGGGTAGAGTGCCATGGCTTCACTGCTCACAGCAATCTCCAACTCCTGGGCTCAAGCGAGTCTCCTGTTTCAGCCTCCCAAGTAGCTGGGACCACAGGCG